ATAAGAAAAAATATAACGGAATTGAAATGCCACTATTAAATAATTTGCTGACCGTTTACAATGTGTAAACAGCAAAATCTATTCCATAGTGTTTAGAAAAAGTATTGACTCGTATTTTTATAAACTTAATTATATTTTACCACACATATGTATTGTTGACTATCATAATACGAAGAGAAAGCTACCTCGGCTCTCATTTTGATGGCTTAATGGACTCAGGGGTCTGCAGGGTGAACAAGATTTTTAAGGCCTTCTTGGAAGATGTCGCCTTTTTGAATCATGTGGCTGGACAGTGCTGCTCTTTCCCATGTCTGCTGCATCCCCAGTAAATAGAGCCATCTCCTCTCTGATTCTGATAAAATTTTAAAGTTATAATCTTAAGAATATGTAGAAACGTTTTCATTATTTTTGCATTAATTATAACTTTTTACCTTGTTTTATTGCCTATTTTTTTTATTTTACAAAAATGTAAAATAGCAAACATTTCTTATACTTAGATTTACTTGACCGACTACATGTTTACTTTCTTGTTTAACTATCAAATTCTTAAAAGTACTTTTATCCATTTATCCAACAGGATTTGGAGTGTTCTACCTCTGATCTCAAGCGAAAGAGAAGTTGTGTAGATGACCTTCCATCATAAAGATCACTGGCAATGGTAAGTAAAGAACAATGTGAATACTTGAAATCATGTAATTTTACAGCCACGAAAATTGAGATTCTAGCGAAGATGATGATATTATGAATGGTAATTTTCAATTCCCATTTGCTTCACCCGAATCCATTCTGCCTGTGAGTAAATAGAGAGACATGCTGGCTGAAAGTAAACGCTTCAAAATATTTGTTGTGGATGAGGTCCATACTGTATTGCATTGGTATGGTTGAAATTCAACTTTACAAATTTATTAATTTATGGAGACATATATTATCACTACTTAACAAGGAGAGAAATCAAATATCTTCTAAGAATCTGAATGTGTTAATATTTTTAGGGGTGAAAGTGAAACAGAGAACGAGCCTTTCCGTGTATGGATCAGCAAGCTTGGTGAAATCAAATCTTTTATACAATGCCCGGTCTTGTTAATAACTGCAACAGGTAACAAATCAGCACGGATGGAAATGAAGAAAAAGTTCTGTATGGTAGATTGCCATGAAATAGTGCAAAATCCTGATAGGGAAAATATCAAACATTTCGTTCATAAAACTAAGAGCACTGTTTTGCTTTGTGGCCTTTTTTTACTTTTTGATTCATTTATAAAACAAGGATAAGAAACTCTGGGAGATTTTTGATATTCTGCCCTTCTATCAAAACATGCAGTGAATTATTTTCGTCCTTACGAATGGAATTGGGGAATCTCATAATCCATGTTGAATGTTCCATTCATAATCACCAGACATTGTTAAAAAAAATTAAAAAAGACATGAGTGTAGAAGACGGAAACAGTTTGTTGATGATTTATTGTTCATTTTAGGGAACAAAACATGTGGTTTGAAAAAAGCGTCATGAGGGAATATACAAATACAACATGCATCATTTGAGTGAGAATGATGAGGGAAAGCAAACCAGATGAGATAAGAATGTGCTTAGAATGCAGGAAGTTCTTCTCTGACAGAATTTTCTACATGTATAAGCATAAAGATGCTTGTAAGGATCATGTAATCCCACTTAAAACACAAACACTTAGGCCTCTTTCTCATCACCACGATGAGGATTTTTTTTCACATATTCAGAATAAGTTTCGTGATGGGCCAGTAAGTGAATTTACGTGATGGGCCAGTAAGTGATTTTATTAGAGAGAACAAAATTATTCAAACGATTGGATATAAGCATTTCCTTTTTAGAAAATCAGAATCAAGCAAATCAAATGATCGTAGAGAAGGCCACTTCCAGCAATCTTTCTGGCAATTCCTTGACTGATGGTTTTTCTTGCAACTAAGGGCTGGAGAGAAGGCAAATTTTGTCCTAAATGGGCATGAGTAGAAGTAGGAGTCTATGACACTTTGAACAGTGATTGATGACCTTCTGACTTTAGTGCTATCCAGATCACTGGATGTGAAATAACTCTGAACTAGTGATTTAAAAGCCACAGCATCATCTACAGCATTATGCGCAGAGTAGACTATACCTGAAAGACACTCGCAAAAGTTTTCCTGTCGATAAGATGGTAATCCAGGTTTCACAAGTTTGAAGAGTTTCTGGGTGTCAACAAAACCATCCACTACTTCTGAAAATTCAGTTATTTGTTGCGTGCTTGTAAAGCACGCATAAGAACAGGACAGTCAAATGACTGGATGTTATGTCCAAACAAAATCAATTTTTTACCAAATTGATTACAAAAACTAAGTAAGCATTATGTGTCCAGTGGTAAGAAGCCTATTAGAATAGCATAAAAAAGAACGTACAAATGTTAATAATTGATTTATCAAACTTTTTTTTAATTTCCCTCTCCTTCGGGACTTTTTTATTCTCATGTTCATAACTAAACCTAAACATAAAAAAGTGCTAGCCTTACAATGAAGAAATGGGCCTCTTTCAAAATAAATAATTTCAGGGCAGCTGGGTCATTGGTACCAGGGGGGGGGGGGTACTTTGACTAAAAATAAATTAATGCTTTGAAATCTGCCCTTTGATAAGCAACGGTGCCTCTTTCAAAAATTGTGAATTTCATGGTTTTTGGATTAAAACACGAACAAAATACAATCGCTGGGAAGTTGTTACTCAGGTGACCTATAAGGCCCGTGGGCCTCTTGTTAAATATAATTTGAATAACCAATATTCGATACCGCCAGTGTAATGCTCTTCGTATAGATACGGATATAACAGAATATTGTCGAATACATATCGCATTGATACCGAAAACGACGAGGTCAGTTTCGAGGAGCAGCCGTGGAGAGGAGACTGGGTATAGACACTATGGGCTACTACTACTACTGCTAAGCCTGCAAAGATTAGTTGTATTCGTCCAAGTTGAGGGAAGATCAATAAGACCAAGATCATTTTTTAGATGTAGCAAGTGTGTCTTCTTTTGCAAATTGCTTTAAACCTGGACAATGTTATGATGTTTTTAGATCACTAAGGCATGTGATTATCGCTCGGTGCGTCGACAGCTACTTCTATCGGTTCCATGCCGAGATAAAGGCAGTTGATGGAAAAGCATGCTGTAAGTTTTTTTTATTTCTTTCTTAAGTTAGACTGGGGTTCTGAATAAAGGAGTATTTGGCGTAGTTCAATTTGGCGCTTTTTGTTTTTAAATTCATGTCAGGTTAGGTCAAGGTTAAGATGTAGAGAAGTTATTGAATGCAATCAATTTAGTGGAACATGCTGATGATTTAGGTTTCTTTTGGTACCATCAGGTTTTCAACGTATTCAATCCAGAGAGAAAAAACTAAAAATCCTTAGGACACAAGGGTTAAGATTAATGGTTAAATTAACTTATTGTCTTGAGACATATTCCCACTCCATTTACTTTTATCCAACGACATTACGACAACACGCAGAGATCACATCCGTAAATAGAGAAATCTGCAGCAAGTTTTTAATTTCATGACTAATTGGGTTTGACAGAGTTCAATTTGGCGCTTTTTTATACAGGTCGAGCCAGGTCAAGATTTTAAGATGAAGAGAAATTAATTAATGTTATCAATTAAGAGAGACAGACTGAAGATTGGCAGTATTTATAATTGACTTTTTTACAAGGTAGCGCCTGGTGGCTATGATAACAGAAATAATTCCCAATGAGCAATCCAGAATAGAAATAAATCTTTCTGGACAGGAACTCCAAGTTCCTAACCAAAAGAATTTTCCCATCCTCAGTTGTGAAGAGACTTTCTTTGATTTCCCGATTGACATTCTCAAAGAATTCCCTTCTGGGTCCTCCTTAACCTCGGGCTAGTTAACTAAAAAAGGTGACTTCTAGGGAATGCCTAAGTTCCGTTGATGTCCTAGTTCATCAATACAGTCGTGAAGACAGGACTCGATACATAGATGGCTATCACCCTCGATTGTTTCCATACTAATTCCCAAGTTCAACACTTGATGTATACATATTACCGTAACTAAATTTTGAAAATCCAACAGTAAAATCGCTTTTAAAAAAAAAAGTAATCAATAATACTACTTTTCTTCAGTAAAATCACTGACAATTTATAAAATGTCACGATTTACTATTTTTGAATAAATAAAACGTAACACTTTCACGATAATAAAGTCATAGTGTTCAGTACACTCGATTCAAGACTGTGCTAACTAGGAATCGTGTATAATCATTCCTACTGCAGACGTATATACACGTATATACACATTGCGTAATATCCTCTTCATGCTGCTGGTCCGCTCCGCGAGGAGACAGTCTTCGAGTAGCATCAAAGGCGGCGCTAGCGCCTGGTTGACTCGACTTTCAAAAGGGGGTAAATGAATGTGATTCTTCAAGTTACTGACTTTGAGCTATCAGCTTCTACGGAATCGAATAATTTAAGTGGTATACAACTAAGATTTATTGTTTTTAATAGTTATGACATATATTAATCGTTTATTAATCAATTCCTTTGTACATAATTATTTTTCTCAACCTTGAGGCAACTTTACCAATGTCATGTTGTAAATTTTGAATTTACCGGGTGGCAGTAAATACTAAATTTACAACATGTGTTGTAAATTTTGTATTTACTGCCATCCGGTAAATTCAAAATTTACAACATGACACCAATATGGACACTTCCACTGGTCAAGAACTTGTTCCATTTTATTAAACTGGGATGTTGAACGTCCTTTATTAGTTTTAAAGAACTATGTATGTACCTCATATCCATTTTCCCCCTATTATTCTAAAAACAATAATACCCTGTACTTATCAACTGTTAGAATTTATTTTGGGGGGTAAAAAATTCATGACATCGTAATTGAAATAACCATTCCACCCCTAATTGGAATGTGTCATTGTCTATTATATAAGAGATGAAGGAAAAAATTCGGCTATCTTAATTCCAAATTCGAAGAGACAATGTTCATGCTAATCTTTGTGATTCTGGTGGTGCACGTTGATGCGCGGTGCGGGGTGTCAGAGGGAGTGCTGCAGTGCCGGGACTGGAGGGAGTTCGAGCGAGGTAATTACCCGATGGCAAACTTCATCATTCTGGAGAGGGCGATGGGAGAGATTAACATCGAGGAATACCCAGTATTGACCAGACTAGTGATCCGCGACCCGCGAACTAAGTGCGATGCCATCACGGCAAACGTCTGGACAGGCTCCCTCACGTGTCTGGTAATTATATTTTTTTATTTATTTAATTTTGTTATCTATGTCATGATAAAGTTAATAATTTTAAATTTCAAAAAAAAAAAACTTGTCAGGGACACATATCGTCAAGAATTTTTAATTGAATCGATATTATTTAAAAAAAAAATTAAAAAGTAAATAAAATTGAAATTTATGTTTCTCATTTTTGTTCAGGATGGTCAGCACAGCAGTGGGGTCACAGACATTATAAAAACGACCACCCACAAGACCATCGAAATGACAGCCATTACATTCAGTAAGTTTTAAATTTAAAATAAATAAATTAAATATATAAAATAAAAGATTATTTAAATTACTACTATATAGAAGTTGTTTTTAAAGCCACCCTTTGTTCATTTAGACAAACCTTGGA